TAATACATGTATCTGAATAATTTAAATATAATAAAAATTATACCTAAATTATCAAATAAAAAGCCAACTGACACAAATTACAGTATACTGATTGTGAGTTTTATTGAATCAAACAATGTCAAACTTCTGATCTTATTTGGAAACCCTGACATGGAATCTTTGATGTTTCCCCCAATAGAAAGGGATGATATGAGACATTAGAAAATACTACCCTCAATAGATAGCTAGGTTCTTCTTGTATTGGTACTAGCCACATTGATTCTTGAGAAAAGAAGAAATTTTCAAAATTAGAACCAGATACTGGCCATCAAAAATGCAAACTGAAACACCCATTAAAAACCACAACCTTGCCATCAAATTTCCCCCTTTTTAAAAAGAAATAAATGTGTAAACACATTTACCTGCACTACCACAATACGCCAGAACAAGTTGTAGAAGGACCCTGGGTTTAGTTTGTACCGGGTATTTTAAAATTTTTGAGTGTAGAATAGTGGGAGGCTGCTTTATTATGGAGGTACTTTGACCCATCATATACGGTAATATTAAGCAAAAACTAGAACTTCGATTTCAGTTAAGTTTTATATTTTTTATTGCATGATACTAAAGTTTATTTGATATTATATTAATAATTGTTGGACACGAATTCCTTTTGATTTGCTAATATATATAATTTAGGAAGAATAAATAAAGAAATAAATAAATAACCAAACACATTTTATTTATTATTTAATGTTTGTTTGTTTATTTCCATAAATTTTCCGCAAAGAAAATTATATCAATATTGAGTAACAAAAATTGTTGCACGTCTTTTTCAATAAATATTTCTATATATGTTATTACTATCAAGTAAAATGGCATTCGATAATAATGAATCTCCGCAAATAATTATTGTAAAACAATTGCATATAAATAGCTTCATTTTTTTCCTAATAATAATATTGATCAATTAATTATGGAATCCGAAAAAAATAAGAGATTTTAATCCAACTCAAGAAGCTCAAACTGAAACATCTGTTCCATCACAACTTCCATCAAAAGATATACTTGTTGAATATTCCAATACTTGTAAAGACACATCTTCGGAAAATCAAAGCCATATTACCTCTGATGAAGATACACTTGATCCATTAAAACTTTTTTCTCATTTAGTCTTGTTGAATCAATTCAAGAAACTTGAAAT